CACACATGAATATTTCCGTGTTTAAAAATTACTGTGGAATTCCGTCATATTAAACTCACCAGCAACTGCAGACTGGAAAGCTGCATTGTAGTCACATGCTACTTCACTCTGGTAGTAGTTTTCGCGGTCGTCAAAATATACGTCAGTTGCATTGGGTCCTCCAACCAACGCTCCTTCTAGAACATTCGAATTTGGACCTGGATCACTGAAGGTTCCCCAGTTACATGCCTCTGGTGGCAATGGACACGAACTGTTCAGAAAGAGTCCAATTAGCATGTATTATCATAGTACCAAGTTACAACGCGTCCTCGTCCGCTTGTTGCTCTCTACCTTATTAGGAAATACGAATTCCATATATGGAACGATCACGTGATTATTTCAAAATGGCGGGCAAGTTTTAAAATGTTAATACCGAGAAGGGTCCACTCATTACTCACATTACTCTACCGTTTGCAGTTATAGACTTTATATATATATATATATATGATAGCACTATGTGCGATATGTTATCGTAATTGAAAATACATACCTTGCTCTGTGATGTGGTCGCGTAGGAAAGTTTACCCCGAATCCAATGACGTAGCTGCGCCCCGTGTCTCCCAGTATATAATGAATTTGTGATTTCGCCCAGGCCTTGTATTCCGCGGCCACGGTGGCATTAGTCTGTAAGTCGGCTACGTATAAAGCGATGAACGCAGCCCCAGCTACACGAGAGACGAATATTTACATTTTAAATCACACGAATTTTAGATGAATACAAAAGTATGCAAAGTGCCCGCGAGGTAATACTTCACATAAACACTATGTTTCAAGTCACTCATGGTAATATGTATGACGCCATTGGTCCTGTAATGAATCCCTAGAATAGACGAAACATCATTACCTGCATATCGCAATGGAGCCCAGGGTGAACGATACGCCAAACCTTTCGGGGTGTAAGTCAGAACACCCCCAGGGCGATAGTTTGTAATAAATTTGTCCACCTGTACACAATACGAGAAGTCAACAAGTTTACACAGCAGCGCCTAAAAATAACAAGAGACAAAGTGAAACAATTATTCAAAGTAAAACCAAATAAAAAACTGTTTTAGTTGTCGTAAATTCAGTAACCAGTAAGGTAGAAACCTACTCGTGATCCCTGGACATATTGTAATATAATATCTGCAGTTTATAAATATTTATTAGCGTATTATGTAAAATTGAAAACTATTTTTCGTGGTACAAAGCTATATTATGAAATAGTGCACCAAATATTATGCAAGAACTGCTATTTTGTGGAGCGTTTCTATAGAACGGAAACACAATGCAATATTTCATGTCATTGTCTGACCTATTTCTACAACGCATTTTAAAATCAGTTACGATATATCAATGTATAACTCTATGATGTGAACCTATATCAATCTATGTCACTCTGTGTCACCCATGTTACTCAAGGAAATTCTATGTCATCCCATATCACCCAAGTCTCATACATCATCTTTTGTGAACTTATTTCACTCTCATTACGTCATCTATATCGCCCTATGTCATTCTATATTACGCTATATCAACAAATAATAGAAACAAATAATAACAGTGCTTTCATAGTGGTTGTCGTATTCATCATGACCAACATATTTAAAAAAAAAAAAAACTTTCTTCACTAGGATACAAGAAAAATGAAATCGGAATTCTCATTTATGAATACGATAAGCTATAACTGTAATAAAGATGATTCGTTACCTGAACGCCTGTTTTCTTGTGAGCCCACGCAAATGAATACGAGCTTCCTTTGAGATTATATTCAGTGTATAGGGCAGTCGCATTGTCCAAATACACTTGCTCGTTGGTGGCGCGGTATAGCCAAATAGCAGCCCATGCGAGCTCGTCTCCAAATGTGGAGGCACTGAGGATAATGAAAGTTTATTTAATATGAACACTTGGTTGCGGCAAACAAAGTACACAACCTCCCGTGGTACCTGGTTTTTTTTTACTGCGTTTTTTTTTCGATATGTAATTCTTCCCGGAAAACTGCAGTGTTTAATTAAGTTTGTTTGAATTAATTGATTTTAACTGGAGACAGTTAGTTCCAATGAGCGAGATTTTTTTAGATTACCGAAATTGAAAAGTAATAACTTCTTCTAGGTCAACAAAACTGAATATTGACCAACCAACACAGCTGAATCTGGTAACTACGCAATCAACCCGTGTAAACGTGCGACCACCATTGAGTTCATGGTGGTACGATGGCATCAGTTGATTGTCAGTGCTCATAAAGAAACGATATGAACATGTGTTAATCCAATTACCGAGTGTCTCAGTTTGTACCGCAACACTGCAGTAACAATACACCTGTGACCACATTCTAACCAATGAGCGATAGTAAGAATTTCTTACCTATAGTAACCGTCAACACTCACGTATTCACCTCTATATTCCGTAGCAAACTCAAACAATTCCTTGGCATGTGTTATCAAGAGAATTACATAATCTTTGTATAACACGGAATCTGAAACAAAAACAAATTGACATCTGTACGAAAGAGCAATATATAAAATGTTTATAGAACCCGCCTTACCTACGGGTCAGTCTGCGCATACGTGTTCCCATGGAGACAGCAAATCAATGATAACACAGAATTATGTGCCGACGATATAGACGATGATTCACACAACTATTCACCAGGCCATTTTTTTAGTGTAATTGGAAAGGTTGATTTCCAGGCTACTTTCTTCAATGCCCAACGTTTGAGATTCAACAACGTCGTATGAATACTTGCCCACTTTATCGAATGCTAGGGCAGCAGCGGCAAGTGCTGCTGCTGCCTCCCCCACAACCTCGGATCCTGGGTTAGAAGCGGTAATCGTGTAGCATGGTCGTATGCCCGTAAAATCTTCTGGTCGACCCCAGTAAAGGTGATCATCACCAGGGTTTCCCACCTGGTGAAATAATTCATACAAAAGCGCTATTAATAGTATGAATCTTTATTACAATATATTATTATTATTATTATTATTATTATTATTATTATTATTATTATTATTATTATTATTATTATTGTTATTATTATTATTATTATTATTATTATTATTATTATTATTACGCGCGCAAACGTCCTCTAATAATAAAAACTCTACAAAAAAGAAGTTCGCTGATTCTGTTCTAAACTTTTTGGATTTCGGCATTCCTATGATGTGTCCTTAGAAGGAGAAGATGTACGAGGATACCTGAAAGTATGCACGCAGAGAGTACGCCGTCGTCTCGCTGTCTTATCCTCGTAATAACCTCATATTAGTATTATTATCATCATTATTATTATTATTTGTTACAAATATAGGATTGTGTGGTAGCAACAATATTATGTGCACCACGAAAGTGGCCAATACTGCATAACTCCTTATCCGTATGTATACAAACAATTATAGCAGGCTCATTGAGCAAATACATGCTCAGCATAATATGATATTTCTTCCTTCTATAAACACGGCATAATGCTCAAATCACAGTAAAATATCTTCAATGACATAATCATTATGTAATCACATACATAATACATCACATAATCGTTATGGAATAGATAAAATATACACACATTGTATTTTCAACAGTGCGCTGCAGAACTGTTCTTTAGGGTTATGAATATTTATATATCAGATTTCATTCATATTCAAATATTTAAATTGTCTCATAAACTTACTAGAGTCTACTCAAATACTGTGCGTCGTATATATTATGTAACAATACCATTGCACTGAGGATTGGCCATTTGGATTCAACAACCATTTTGAATTCATGTAACATAGTAAATATAAACTTCACTATATAAAATATTATAAAAAATTTAAAACGTCCACGGACTTTTGCCACACACTGTATTATTATACTATCTAATTGCATTACCTGGTACACAAATTCGTACTTGGCGATGTGGCATTTTATTAAGTAATCGGTGGCCCATTTCAGACTTTTGACGGCATGCTCTGCTTCTCCTGCCGCGACGTAAGCGTCATAGTAATCTACAATACCCCAACTTAACACCGTGACAGAAAAAGCCATCGGATAACTGAATTTCAAAAAATCACCAGCTGAAAAATATAACAATTCTTCACTTGAATATACAATAAGTGGCAATACATATAATACCGATACGATCGACTAATAGATTTGATTGAATTTGCGAACAACTAGGGCATGGCGACACACAAGCAATATGAATATCATGATCAAAATGTGGATGTGGGTCTAATCTTAACATACTCACCGTCATGCCATCCACCTGTCAGATCATGACCAAAACACGTGTCATCTAGAAAGCAGCTTTCCCTCCACGGTATGTCGTTGTCTGGCAGTAAACCTGACCTCTGAGCGTCGTAGAATCGAATACTTTTTTTTAGTACATCATTGTAGTCGTAATTTGTAGGTTTCTGTGTGGCTGCAATTGAAAGAACGTTAATGGCAGGGTTACGATTGTATTATAATAATACGTTTTTTTTTCATTTTATCATTTTATTTATATTATGAATTGTTTTCTTTTAGTTTGTCCATTCATCCATTCAATAATTCATTGGTTCGGATTTAACGTAAGAAATAACTGTTTATATATTTATAAAAAAAAATAGTGATTACAGACAATAAATATTAGCATATATGAGCAATAAGAGAACGATTGCATGTCTCCCAGTGGAAAGAATCCATGCTTAGTTTGAGCGAAACACTAATGGTTAGTCTCCCATTATGTCCCAGGATGCTATTATGTCAAGTGAAGTCGACAGATTGGTGCAGCGGTTAACATACCAATTCTCCACAAACTAAGAGATTTGCAATGTTCACGTATCGGTTATACAATTCTTTCTATATATTAAACATTAGTGAATATAGTGGTTTGTTCATTCTAGTTAGTCGCTATATATATGTATGGATAAATATACTATTTGGAATAGTTTTCAGAGAGCAGTTTTGTGAATCATTGTAAGCTTTTTAGGTAAATATATACCTACGGAATATTTAATATATCAAATCAATTAATTAAGAACGAACAACAATACAGGTACTTACTGCCGGTAGGTGCAACAGTCGCGGCCGGAGTGGTAATCCCAGGGGTAATTTTCTTTGTTAATGTTATTTCTCCTTGCACTTCGGGTAGTGATCCATTATAATCGGACTTGAAGGGTATATACAAAGATTCGCCACTGAGTAGTTTAGCATTGTATTTATTGTCTTCATACATTTTGACTAAGGGATCATTATTCGGATCTTCAATTTCGACGACGTTCCACAACTGTAATTGTTAAATATCAAAAATATCTTGCATAAGATTTCAGAACTGCGATGGAAATACATTCGATTCCTAAATACACGTACACCATGAAAATCATTGAAAGCAAAGAACACATTGAAAAAGTCGATGAGTTTTTACACATGGAAGTTAAAGCGAGCAAAAATCAATGACTATGCTACATTAGACTGACAAACAATATTTGCCTCCAATGTTCCGCGTGAGTGAAACTAGAAAAGAGTTATCAGAATGCATCATAAAGTAGTTACCAGTAAATTCAAGGGTGCTTTGCCAAACCTGATGGTCAGCGTCCAACCGTAAAGCATATCTTCAGTCACATCATTGCAAACAATGACTCCTGTATAGGTATGCAACCAAACTTTGCCAATCTGTAGAGAACACGACGCTGAACCAGTTCCTAAACATGGTGATTTCAGCGCTATTAGCGACAGCATGAAACATGCCAGAAGACATTGCAGAGCTGACATGATTCTGGCTTGTTTGGTCTGGCTTGCCGGAATGAAGTGAAAGTAGAGCTAAGTGTGGTCTTTTAAATACGATGTCACGCATGTGTACTGCACAGGGTGCCACTTAGTAAACTGTTCAACAATTTACCAATTCACTATTATAGTACATATTGACGTTCACTTACTTTGTTGTCAAATGGGGTCTCCGTTTTTGATATCAACCGCACTTTTTTCCGGTTTGCCATAAGTGGATTGTAAAGCCTCAGTGGGATATTTCCATTACATTTTGTCCGTAAAAATGAAAATGTTATTAATTGATAAAATATAAAAATATGTATAACACTTTTTATAACGTGGAGTACCATCAGAAGAATATTTTAAGACTATACTTGATTAATACGGTAACAGTATAAATAGGAACAGTATTGTGTCAACATATTTAATATAAGGATGTATTCTAGATATGAAAACATCAGACAAGCACGCGACTAGCTTTATGTGTTCCTATTCACTTGACAAAATATCATAATAGTCAAGATAATATCATTGTTAAAATGTCGTATCATGGGTAGTTATTGAACCGTCTTAATTTAGCAAGTTAAAAAAATGGTATATCAGCTACATAAATTATTTCGGTGACAAGTCCGATTGCAAGTTTAATGGTTCGTGCAATTTTAGTTGTAATATGTATAGTAGAGTACACGCAATTCTTACCAGGAGTTCAACTGTTGTTTTTTACCTCGTCTGGATAAACGCTTCTCTCGAAATGGATTTGATGAACAGATTTGTACTAATTAAAATTGAAATAATTACTCCGTTTTGATTATTTTTTTCATCGATTTCGTCATCTGACTGAGCTATAATGTTTTTTTTCTGCTTTACTTTATTAATTGTCCATATTCTAATGGATGTGATGATTGCAGTGGAGGCTCGTTTGTTTGTCTGTTTCGGAAAATCATAAAAAGTATCATATAGTGAAGTAAGTGATCGCGGTTTTAGTTTGTAATTGTAAAGCTAAACCGCATTGCGTTTCTTTGTTTTGGAGAAGAGCAAATGGGTTTTCATTATGCAAATACGGCATACTGAGACCGTACGTATAAGGATGTGTAGAAAAAACACCCTTTTATTATGACAGCAATTATATATATATATAAAAGCAGCCCCGAAACTGATACTACTCTTACAGTTCCCACCAACCGTTATCCATCATGTTGGTAAGATGGGGCATACTCGTCGCCTTAGCAGTGACGGTCCTCCAGACTCGCCCAGTAGTTTCTAATGGTCAGGCTGCTATACTGACTTCGTGGAAAGATGGTTTCATTGCAACTGTCGAGACAAATGCTACAGAAAGCACCACACATGGATGGAAGCTTGATGTCACCTTTCCAGTTAAAGTCAAAAATTTAAAGGTACGACTAACTTGTTAAGGTATTCTTTATAAACACCATATTCGGTGTTATGTATGTGTCTTGTATTTATGACAATTCTGAAAACAGACTGGATGTCATTGGGCAGATATGGAAATGTAAGCATCGTAATGCATGTACTATATAGCATGTATTTTGTGTGACAAGAAATAAACTGGTTACATTCACAACTCTGTGTTTAAGATGAACAAATGTTCCATAACAACATAGTAAAAGGACGAGTATCTTAATTTATTCTGTCATGTACTCTAATTTGTCCGTTACTACGACAACATGAACACACAACATCTGAAACTTGGAACAGTGCTTGTGTATTCATCAGTGAACTATTATATACCATTTTAATTACTCGAAACTTTTTAGGATTCCATCGATTCTAAAGTATGAAAGCAGTATATTAAAACATGTCTAGCTCAGATCCCGCGTTGGGTGCAATATAAGTGAAAGAATCTAAATTATAATATGACTACAACTTTTATGATGATATGAAGTTGACAACCACTGTGTCTCATATGGTTGGTAAACTGGTTGATAAAGTTATTAATTGAAGTCGTTAACTTAACTTAAATTAAAATATTTTATTCAAATAACTCAATCATTGTTATATTAGTATTTGTTACACTTGACATATATTAAACCAAAACCATCTCTGAAACAAAACAAGTATACCGTCATATACTACTGCGTGCATATAATCCGATGCACGCAAACATTCCACGTGCCGCAAACCCAGAAACTCAAATAGACAATTAGTCGCATTCACGATAGTTTATTTGGATTTATCTGATAACATTGTCTCATACAGTAATATCTGAATACAAGAAGTTAAAGTTTCTTTTAATTTATTTTTAAATAAAAATTAAATATTGCTGCTAATAAATGTAACTACTTTGAAATGTAATTATTATTTCTCTTCTTCCAGTGCGTGTCATTCTTTCGAACAGCTGAAGCTTTATTTCTAGAAACTTCAATCAAGAAGTAATGAACGGTTTTTATATTAGGTTCCACAAAACAACACTAACAGTTTTTGGGGCTGTTAACATTTAAAAGCAAATTATATCATCAACAAGTTTATACGATTGTCGTGCCCACCATTTCAAATCATTAAATAGTTTATGCTGCATAATTAAGCAGCCATGCTAAGCAATACAAATATTATTATCAGAAATTGTAATCGGTACTGACAACAGTATAGTTTAAACATGGAAAATGTCAACCGTTGATAGACCCGTCTGGTGTCGACACACGAATGTTATAGAACATATACATTTTTTTATGATGTATAGATATAACACACGTACAATCTTGCCGTTGATTGTGGTCGATATGCCAAATTACAAGTGTAGCAAAGTGTTTGTAACAAGTGTAACAGCAATATATATAACTGCCCGACTATGGGCGTTTGTGCCCGAGCGCACGTGATCATTCGATCACATGATCTCCATGCGCGAGGGCACTAACGCCCATATTCGGGCTGTAATATTTTATTACATGCCTTAAAAAACATAAAGAATACAGGGTTTATATCTTAATGTTTAAAGGTAATTTTTCATAAGCAGTAACAAATAATTGCGCATGCAATCGCGCTAATCAATAAGTTCGGCACTGCGGATGAATATGTTTACGCATCCTGTTAACCGGCTCCCTTGACAACCTGCAGACGATAATGGCGACAGCGGACGAAATTGGTATTTTTCAGTGGTTACTGTCGATAGGACAGAGCCAACTTGATGAAATTATTGGACCAGCACCAGGGAATAAAATGAAGTACCAGATGAAGTGGACGGTTTTATAAAGGCACACCAGAAGCAAAGTACCGTTAAAACCACCGACCGTGATGTCCGCCGCTGTACCGAGTACCACCGGTCGAGTTGAATGAGCTTCTGGGCAAATTTTTCATCAGCATAAAGAAGAAATACCTTTGTGTAGTTTGGAGCGCTATCTTTGCAATAAGAAGTACTCTACAAGCCTAGTAGTTTCGGGAATTTCTTTGATCATTGGACCTCTCTGTTGCTATAAATGGCTTACTGGACCGCATAAATCTAAAGTGTGTGTTTGATTGGCGGGCGGGTGAAGGCATGTAATAATAACGGTTGCAGCAATTGTGTTAATAATCGGTTCAATTTATTCTCAATATTACTTTCACGGGAACTTCAGTAGTTTGACAGTCGAAGAAAATCATAAAATCAAGTAATACATCAAACATAACTTTTGCATGTTTGTGCACAATGCATTATTCGCTACAAATACAAGGCGATTGCTTCGCATTTCGCATTTATATCATCAACTAAATCCTATGATTGGACTGTTAATTAAGCAACATATATAATGTGCTTTGAACTGTATCAATTTTAATTGCTTAGACTGAACTGAGCAATGACAATATCATTGGCCAACATTATTCTTTCATAATTCAGCTTTGGCATTAATTATGTATATTAATATTAACATTATTTTTAATAATATTAACAAGTCGCAATGTTATTTTTTTTAAATTCCACTGTTCTTGTTGCTTTGAAATTAACATGAAAGCCTTTATTTACATTTATTTATGCAAACGATGTTTTCTCTCTATCACTAGATGGACCAAGCAGTGCTTACTGGCGCGACAGGTGACTATCATAACTTTGAGTTGAGCAACAACACATCAAACGGCGTGTTAACCAAAGATGACAAGATTACCATTATAATCGTTGGAGGTGGCGTTGAAGATGAAGACATCGACCGGGACTTATTTAAATCCCAATCAGTTATAACATTCACGCCACTTTAGATGGCATGTCTCACATACACATATTCGTTGTATGTGTCAACAGACTAAGTAATAAACTCGGTTTGAACAACAACTTGTTAACTGTGCTTTATTATAGCAATGTGTTGATGTGAATTGTGAATGTGGGTGGAAAGAGGGGTAATGTTTACCGCTAGTAAAATACACAGTATCAATCAATCCGCTCAGCAAAGCTACAATGAAAAGCTATAGAACACGAAATAAATAAATTGCCCAATACAGTACTGCAGTTTTAGTGAAAGGTTGCCAGCAAGTGGTGTCAGGTGTTAACTAATAACTAATTGTTGAGAAATACATACCCGGTACTCAATGCTTAATTTATCCAGTGAGGGCGTTTCAAACAATGCTCTGAAATTCTGGTTAGTATGTAAAATCTAAACACACTAATGTGGCTTGCTTCCTGGTAAAACTTTGATTATGTTTGACATCGAAAGCGGGGTTGTCAATGTTGTACTTAGTCCAATAATAGATTCCTTGAAAATCGGTGAAACTTGTTATAAAATTCCAAAGTATGTATTTTCATAATAAACATCTTTTTAATGACGTACTAACCTTATTGCACCACAAATCGCAATTTTAGACATTTTGACTAGGTTTAGCAATTTGTTTATCACGTGATACATGTGTGACCGAACTAAATGAAATATTCGCTAAAGGGAGTTTTTGAACGAAACAATTTTTTAGTAAGTGTAAAGGTTACACGCACTCGCGACCGCGATTTACAGCCCGATGCTATGTAACTGGTATTATTAATAGCTTTGTGTGAATCTGGGAGAGTGAAAACAATGCGAAAGTAGCCCTTGTGGACATTTCATTAGTATGCAAAGGTTAATCCAATATATGCTTCAGGTTTTTAATCTGGAACCAAAAGAATCATTTTGATGTATTTGATTTTTTACTGATGCCTTGGAGTCTCATTAGTACACAACGTAACACACGTACAAACATGTACAACAATGTATATAATAATGTATAATACACACAACACAGGATTCGAACTCAAGTATTATAACTGACCCAAAAATATAACTAATCTTCGCCATATGTGCAATTTACTTTGCCATTACATTTGCATTGCAGTCGAATCAAAGTGCCATTCTAACAGGTACTGTGACAGTGACTAGACCTAAATACGCCAGGCAAATCTCGGACGTTATTTAAAGTGACTGTAACATACCTGCCATTTTCTTGCCCAAAATCATTTGTTGGTCCATCAATATTATTATTTTTTATGTTATTAAGTACAAAATAATGTTGAAAAGTGAAAAATGGGTTTCAAACTCAATCTACGTCAATTTTATTTTGATGAATTTTAAAACGAGGCTTCTCATTAACTTCACATTTGCATACTCAAGTACCCCTTGTGACGTATGTAGGAGAACTAGCCCGTCATTTGCATTGCTGATAATGTATATAAGGCACATTTTTGTATTCAAATGTTCTCGTCTTTGACTAAATTGCCACTCATGTATTTGTTTATCGAGAAAGAGAGGACCACAAAAGTACATAATATCAAGTTTATCGTACAGGTTTGAGTTAGATATGAAATGTATGCCTTCTGGTGTTGAGGTGCCGAACACTCTATGATCTCTATGTCTATGTAGATTGTCATAATTACGACATCACGTTAAAAAATACGTGGTCGCAAAATATCGACAGCCCTCTTGTTATGCAGATCAAATTGCAAGAAAAAAAAATACAGAATTGTTTGGTCAACATCAATTACAAAACAATTAAGTAACTTTTAGACAGCGTAATTAAAAACAATTTCGTGTGAGTGCTGCATGATTTTTTGTTTGACTTCCTGTTCAGTTGTTACGTCACGTCACTGCTGCATCTACATCTAAAATAACTATATGGTCTCTAAAAAGAAACTTATTCAGATTCTAAAAACATTTGAAGCACTTACCCGGCGCTTCTCACTCCCTTTGAAAGCCGGCGCGGTGAACATGGGCTTGTCCAGAATCTGGCTCTTTAAAAAGTGTTAGTACTTTGCCTGGTTTAACTTTCCGACATTCGTCTTTAAATTCATGTTTGTTGTTTTCTAATTGAGGACAGATGTTCAGAGTAGGAATCTGCGGTATGGCGATATAAGGACAATGTGCATCCTAACGTGTTCTCATTGATTTTACGGCTTTCGTGTACTGAAGTTACACCTTCGAATCGTTTTCAAACGCGTAAATTCTCTATTTATTACTATACGCATTGTAGAGTCCGACAAAAATACAAGGTTTCCATAACGCGCCGACCAAAACATATACATCGTAGACAGTAGACGCAGTATTATAAACGTATAGCGCAATAGTGTGGCTTCCCCTCATATGTTGGCGTTTGGTGGCGTACCCCTACATTGGCCAGAGTCGAGAAGCCGGAACAATCGACCGTTTCAGGATAGGTGGGCGTGCTACAACACGAAAAAATATCTCAAATATATTAGTATACGAGTAATCATTTTCAATAAAAAAAATCAAGTGTCTTTTTCAGTGGGACACAAATCCAAAACGGAAAATGTGTTCACAGGCACTTTAAAATAAACACTGGTATGCATAGTACAATACGAAACACTCAGCAAAGAACATTCCACAGAGACTTGTCCACTGCTAGAAAAATCTGTTGATTAAATGTGAATAATTATAGGCAAACAAACAATCACACAGGATTCGTACTCGCTCCCAAGTGGAAGTGTTTCACCAATGCAGGCGAATG